AGCCTCCTATCCAGTAGGTACCAGAGCTCTTTCCCTGGGGGTAAAATGATTGGAGCATGAGGCTGACCACTCACCTCCATCTAGTGCCGAGGTCAAAGAATGGTGGAGCTATACCTCCACTTCCCCATAGGTCTTCATAGCATAATGCTTAAATAATTAAGCATAGGGACAACTGTACCTTCTCTCTCTTTCTGTCTGTCTCAGCATTATTTAACTTTGTGTTTTATCAAAGCCACCATGTAAATTATAATCCATCATATTTTTGTAACTTGGAATTTCTCATGTGTGGAAAACTTCTTAAACAGAGAGTTGCAAGATCCCAGGTACTGTTCCATCTGATTAATTAAGTGGATGTGAAATCAGGACCTTGTTATGCTATATTAATATCAAAATAGTAATGAAAATGAAACTGTTATTGAATTGCTCGAGATTGAGTGGGTTATGGAATTTACTACCCTTTGCCCACTTTTATATATATATAGTGATGTCACAAGTGTTTTTTCTGCCCATCATAAAATCAATGACACCATTCATTTTATAAGATCTTTGTAAATATTTTGGTATATTAATATGTATAGAATTATTTAAAATTAAGAAGGGTTAGAAATTGAATCTGGATTTTTTTTATAAATATTTAAAAAAATGTAGAATTGATTTAGTTAAATATGTTTCTTAGCATTGAATTGTTTGCCACAATGACGCTTTTCCATTACAGTGGATGTTGTGGATTATAATTAAGAAAAAGCTGTATTTTCTTCCAAATGTTTGACTTCGTGAAAAATGTGCACGGTGATGAGTGTATAAAACAATGTTTTGTTTTCTGTTTTTATTTTTTATGTAGTATTATTTAGTTAGCATTTGAATGTCCTGAATTTTTTATATGAGAACACTTTCCTTGTTTTTGTGTGTATGATATAAGTTTAAGTATTTTTGTTTAATTCATTAATATGTTGAAGATGTGTAACATTGTAGAAAGTATGTTGAGTGGGGGGAGGGAGGGTATGTCTTCTATTGAAAATTTGACTCTCTGGGTTTCAATATTATTAAAAGAGTTTTAGGAATATATAATTTAAAAGATAAAGACTTGTCATTAATGATTCTGTAAAGAAAAGTCCCACAAGATAGATTATGAATGTAATGTTTTATATAAGAATATGTAATATGATAAAATAGGACTAGTTCATTAACTGTATGTAAACTCAGTATTGATTTGAAGAATAAAATATGATTAAAGAAACTATGCAAGTATAACATGATTGATAGTGAATGTCTCTTATATCAAAGTAAACCAAATATGAGTAGATGGGTCTAGATGTAGCGCCCTAGACTTGTTTTCAGAAGATGCTTGATTTAGTCATGGCAAGTTGCTTTTCAATTGTCATCCGTCTTATCATCCTACCATCCAATGCTATACAGTCTGGATACTGCAAGTGTCATTAAGTAACAAAAAAATCAAATTGTGTACTGTAATTGATGAACTGTCACATTCATTTTTTATACGGATTTTGTGACCGCCACTGTGGTATAGTGGTCAGAGTTCCTGGCTACAGATCCAGAGGTCCGGGTTCGATTCCCGGTACTACCAGATTTTCTGAGAAGTAGTAGGACTGGAACAGGGTCCACTCAGCCTCGTGAGAATAATTGAGGAGCTGTTTCAAGGAAATAGCAGCTGCGGTCTAGAAACCCGAAATTAACGGCCGTGGGGTTTCATTGCGCTGACCACACGACACCCACTATACGCTAATGTTGGCACTAAGTTCGCTTGTGGGCTAAAACCATTTTTTTTAACAGATTTTGTATCTATATATGGAACATGCCTAATACTTAAGAATGGAAACTCATGACTTTCTGTACATGTCAGATGCGGGCCAAATAAAAATTACCCTCTTATGCTTGTAATTAAGAGAGAAAAATTTATTTTGTTATTTAAATGTTCTTCACATTTTAAGGGTTTATTTTTTATATAGTATACCTTCTTCACACCCTTAGCAACTGTAGGATCTTATTGTGTTGGAAACATTTTAAACAGAGACTTTAGTTTCCTGTGACTTGCAGCTGAACAATTTGCTTCTATTGATAGAAGTACAACACCCCTTTTAGGTTATGGAGCGATTTTGATCCTGCTAGGCTCATCTGTGGCTTCTAACACCATGTATCGATCATACTGACAACTACTTCTATACTGGGATTTGTATGAGCCTAAAAGTGCACTCTTTATATTCCTGGACTGTGTTCCTCACATCTTTGTTTCAGGCTCTTTGATAATTATGGCAACAAAGATTAATGTGACCTCAGACCTCTCTGAGATTGCCCTTAAATTAATAATTATATGTAGCCCAGCATTTATATGGCTTCTTGTTAAACTTACAGCTGTATTCATATTAGAGGCTTGTCACTCAAAATAAATGTATGTTTGTACAAGTGAAAATGCGTCTTGTAGTCATATTTAATCTCACTCAAGAAACCTAAAATGTTGACATGTGCTTCTCTCCCAGTGTACCTGTAGTGGAAGGGTGAGTAATGGATGTTGAGACAAGTGGGGAGGAAGACACAAATGCACAAAAATTTTATAAAGACATAATATGGGGCCATTATCTGACAACTTGAATGAATGGAACAGTCTTGCAAGTGGAAGGCATGACATTACTATAATAAAATAATGGAAGGAATTTCCATGGTAAAGTAACTGAACACTACAGCCCATGCAGAAAGGGCCTCCATGAATTCCTTGCAACCTAAGCAGTTTCTGAGATCCTGAAAGACCTTACATCATGAAAAATAAGTTAGAAATCTGTCAAATAACTTGCCATACTAAATGGAAGCAAATTAGAAGTCCATTAAAACTATTACTCATACACTGAGGCATCACATGGTGGAATCAAGTTTTTTGTTATGGACTGTTACTGTTATGCATATTGTAACTCTTTCTTGGTTGTGCACCCGCTTTGAACGTGGTATGGTGTAATTGCACACAGAGTGTAAGCTATGAACTATATATGAGATTAGCCCAAGTAATACTAGGCCACCTATTAATATATCTGTGAATTTCTTTCTGACTAGAAGTGCTGGAATGGGCTGAGACATTGAAGAATATTTAACTCTTGTCAAGACAACTTGTGCAAGAAAGTTCGGCAATGCATATAGTAAAAAACAAAAATATCGGTGTGGTTCAGAGGTTCATTCCCCGTGAACATTATAGAAGTTGAAGAAAGCAGTCTTCTGGGATTTGGCACTGTGTATATGTGGTGTTAACCGACGTTTTGGAGGAACATATCGCTGCCATCTTCAGGGTAGAAGAAAAAATATAAGCAATCTGCAAGCGAAGAGACCGTGAGAACCGGTAAAAGCAGACTGTGTTGGAAATATACACAGCTATGTGAGAGCAGAGAAGGAAGGGGGAAGGGCAAGTATACAAGTGAAAACAGTAGTGTGGGAGGGGGGGAAAGGAGCTGGGACAAACATGGTTTTTATGTAGGGGGGAGAAAGGCAAGGTTAAAGGCTGGGCACTAACCCGTAAGCTGAGGGGGGGGTTGTTATGTTGGTTGGCCATGGCCTGTGTGGCCTTCTGGATCTGGCGTCATATCCCGGTGGGGGTTTTTAAGAGAACAGATGAGAGGTTTCCAAGACTTTCTGAGACAAAACCCCCCCTCTCTGTTCATATTTTCTGGATGCAGTTCAATCTCAATTGCCTCCCTAATGATGCGATCCATATAGCGGGTCTTGGTGGCGAGGATGGAGGTATTCTGAAGCTGAATGCGGTGTCCCAGATCGATGCTGTGTTCAGCTACGGCTGACTTGTCCGGTTGTTCGAGACGGATGTGCCGCTGATGCTCCTTCAACCTCATGTCCACGGAGCGGTCTGTCTGCCCAATATAGACCTTCCCGCACTCGCTTGGGATACTGTATACACCCGGTGTCCTTAGGCCCAGGCTGTCTTTAACCGGCCGGAGGAAATTGGATAATTTGTTTGGAGGCAGACCCACTGTTTTGATGTTGTGCCGGAACAGCACTCTGCTGATACGGTTGAATATGGTCCCGACATAGGGAAGGAAGGCGACTGAGCCCGGTTTGTCTTCAGGCTGGCTGATGTTGGGCCGACGGTTGAGAACTCTGTAGATCTGCCGGTTGTTGTATCCGTTCTTCTTGAATACATCCTTCAGGAGCAGCAACTCCNGCTTACGGGTTAGTGCCCAGCCTTTAACCTTGCCTTTCTCTCCCCTACATAAAAACCATGTTTGTCCCAGCTCCTTTCCCCCCCTCCCACACTACTGTTTTCACTTGTATACTTGCCCTTCCCCCTTTCCTTCTCTGCTCTCACATAGCTGTGTATATTTCCAACACAGTCTGCTTTTACCGGTTCTCACGGTCTCTTCGCTTGCAGATTTCATATATTTTTTCTTCTACCCTGAAAATGGAGGCGATACGTTCCTCCGAAACGTCGGTTAACACCACATATACACGGTGCAAAATCCCAGAAGACTGCTTTCTTCATAGTCACCGCCGTGAAAGCCTCAAATCTTACATTATAGGAGTTATGTGTTTCTTTGTGAATCTCTCTATCATGATATACTTGTGCCAAAACACAAGCTGCTATTCATCATTGAGGTCGCCGTTTCATTCACGCTAAGCCCATGTGAAATAATTACAGAATTTTGGAGGGAAAGTTATTGAAGTTCAAGTTCTGAAAATTTGTATCCAATTGTGAAATCGAAAACAATCGAACTTCCCACTCGAGACGCTCGAGACAACCAATCTATCCCTGCTCTAAGTTTGGTTACCAAGGTAACAAAGATTGTCGTTGAGTCAAAGTAATTTCATTTTAAATATATTCGTCAGTTTTATACCTTAGAAGATCGCTAATATGTATGTTCAATGATAAAATAATTAATTGTAGCGACATTTATTCAGCTGTCAACTAAACAACGCCAAGTTATTTATAAATAATTATTTTTGTCTTCAATAACACTATTGATGTCATTTCCGCACATAGTGCGCACAATAGTTGCGCAGAAAACTCGTTTCGTCGACCATAAATTTCCTGGTACGGATTCTGGCATTCTGCTAGAAAGTGAAACGTAAGTAAACATTGTCTGAATTTGAGGGTCCTTCTTCGCTGTAAGGGTTCACAGTAAGTGTTCTCTGATAAGTATAAGAATCCAAAATTGTTGAAGAATTTTTGAGCGTGTAATAAAATTCGTTAGTTTACGAGATTTTGAGAAGTAGACGTCCAGATCATTAAGACAGTAAGTTCCAATTGAAGTGTGTAGCTTGTGGAAAACAACATAAGAATACAAAAACCTGTATTACGTAGCATTTTATTTAAAGAATTTAGTAATCATTAAGAAGTTTTAAAGAATTCTGGGCGGAGGTCCAAAGCGGAAGTGTATGGCAAAACGTACGAAATAACCAACATGGCAGTTGACAGGCCCTGAAGTAATAGAATATGCCACTGTTTTTAGTTTTGCGTCAGTTTTTAGAAGCAACTCTGGTCAGTAAATTCACAGGAAGAATTTACTAATATGCAGCTACCATCCAGCATTCATGAAAATAAACGTATGTCAACTAGTTGTTTGTTGCCATGATAATGATGAACAGAAAAAAACGTTTATATGCAAAGAACTTTCGATAAAAGAGTTTTTCTTTCAGTCAGGAATGCGTGTGTGACATGAAATGTTAGAATATTTTGATTATGACACATTATTGTGTCTGGTTATTATGTGGTAATGATCCCCTCATTTTTTGTGGAAGTAGATCTGTTGTGATTTCCAAGCTGAAGTGAACACTGTTTAATTTTTCTTGTATCATTGTGACTTAGTCTTCGTCACCTGGAATGGAAGTAAGTTCCCCAAGCAGCAACATGGCAAAGGGGCGGCGTGGTGGTCTTGTTATGGGCTCCATCAGGCAATGAGAAATACCTTAGTTTGGTGGGGATAGATGTGACATGTTCACATCACCCCTTCTCGAATATAATGTACCATTAGCACATCAGTTACGGAGAGTAATCTCCCAGTTTTCCATATCTGTTGTTCTTTAATTTGCACTCCATTGTTGGCTGGTTTAAAGGATTTGGCATGGTTGTAGGTAGTGACCTGGGGGTGTAACTGCTTAAACGTTTTGCTTTAAAATGTCTTTTAAATTGTACAGTATATCCTTTCACTTCACACCACCTTACGTAAACAGTTTCTGTATAGTTGTATTATAGTAGAATATATTTACATTCTGTAAATCCTTTTGTCTAAGCCAAGGATGTAGAACATGCCACAGCACAGTATAAATACAAAATTGTGACAGCTGTATACAAATTTACAGACATCTCAGATTTCATCTATTTGTAACTGAGAATTTTTGGTTAAGGTAAATTGTTTTACAGAGGAGGAGGAGTGAGATAACTTCAGCTTGAACAGTTTTATATCATGATTCAAACATCTGGTTGTAGGAGGAAGATTACTGAGTAACTTAATTCGAGTACTGCTGACATTTACTGAGATTAATATTTGGCACATGGAGATTATATTTGTATCTTGGACTTAAAGTTGTGTATATTTGAATTTGTTTGAAACTTTTCCATGTTGTCCACAACAAATAGTAACGATAGTAACAATTTGCTAGCTATCAGAATAGTATTAAGTTTCTTAAATAAATTTACAAGAGACTTGTTTTAATTTCATTTCATTTTTATTTGACATTCATAATTGCTACAACAGTAACACTTGAACAAGTCACATCATTAAATACATCATTCTTGAAATCCTTTTGCCCAATTGCCTAAAGGATTAGAAATTGTCAGCAATATATAATCATACTTGACATGGTTAACCTATAATTAAAATATAACACTGACAGACCAGATAAATATATCAAGTTAGGTACAATATGTATATCAAAATGCAAGCCAACCTTATGAGTTCATCAAGAGAATGCCCACCATTCTTCTGTTGTTTTTTATATTGAATGCAGAACTTTCAAATTTCCTGAGAAAATTGTTCAATTTGACATGATGGAATTGAAATAAACAGAGTATCCTAATTTTAAAGCTTCTGTTTTCATATGTGATGTGACTCTTCTGATGGCAAAACATGATGAACTTAGTTTAAGGATAATGTATTCACTATGTTTTTCCCAGTTTGAAGTACAAGAAAGATTTTTGCTTCTGCCATTTCAGTTACTTTATCATCATACCCTATATTTTTAATTAGTACAAATTTTGCTGTTAGTACAGAAGTTCATGACATTTCTTTTGTCAGACGTTTTGTGCAAGTTTATTGGCTTTCAACCATTTTTTCCAAGCTAGCAAAGGCATTATTCATGCAGCTTTTAAAGTAGTTAGTTTCTGGAGGAGAAATAATAATTCATTTATATTGCCTGGGGACACATTGTTGATATATGTGAGAAAAAGGAGAGGACCAGGTACTTGTCCTTGAAGAACACCATGTTTTTCAATGCCTTGATGTGAATAGGTTTCATAATTTAATATAGATGATTTTAATTATGTTTGTTGCTTTCTGTTATGGAGATATTATGGTTTAAACCACTGTTTGGCTGTACCTCAAAGTCAGTAAGAAACTTAGTTTTGGTAGTTATATTTCATGGTTAGATGCTTTTTAGCAAGATCACAAGTATTGTGCCAGGATGCATTTTATTATTAAGAGCATGTAAGATTTTGTATGTGAAGTCGAAGGAAGTTTTGTCTGTTGAGAGATCTTCCAATTTCCAAATTGTTCATCTGCAAGGTGATGTACAAGATTATGATATCATTTACGTATACTTTTTTTTTCAGTGCAGTTTGGTAATTATTTATCAAAAACATATTTCATTGACACAGACTTTAACGCGTTATGATTTAGGTGCACTTCTGTTTGTGAACATACAGTTCAACATCTTTCTCCTCATGAAATAATGGAACATGGAAAATTAAAAAGAGCTCTTCCTTCAGCCATAATATAATTTTCTATAGAATTTACATTCCCAGAAAAGAATGGTTAATTGCATCTCACAGTAGTGTGTGGGAACTGCCCACATTCAAGCAAGTGTGACAACGCGAGCTTCATTGCTTAGCAACGACGAGTAAACAGCGGTTGCTAGGCAAAGCCTACAACAATACGGACAGTAATGTATCTTCCTATGTAACCTAGAGTCGGACATACAGAAAACACATCACTGTCCGTATTGTTGTAGGCTTTGCCTAGCAACCGCTGTTTACTCGTTGCTAAGCAATGAAGCTCGCGTTGTCACACTTGCTTGAATGTGGGCAGTTCCTACAAGTGTTTTGAGTGGTTTGAACAAAGGTGAAGGTAGTGGAGTTTAGCTTAGATAATTACTATTTTTTTATTGCTAGTGGGGTGGGACTAAGTCCCTTTTACTGCAGTCACTTCTGGCCTACTATACCAGCCCCAGTTGATAGATGAGGGTGATTGTGGAGCAATTGGTGGAATGAAGATTGGCAGGGGAAACTGAAGTACTTGGAGAAAACCTGCTCTAGCGCCACTGTCCACCACAAATCCCACTTGACCAGACCCAGGATCGAACCCGGGTCGCCATGGTGGGAAGCCAGTGACTTACCGCTTGAGCTGTGGCACGGCCCTAGATAAGTACTAAGTATAATGCTAGCAGGGTGATGCAGGAGGGAGTTAGTACTCTCTTTTGTAATTTTCTCTAATGTCTTACCATTTTTTAATCATTTCCTCTTAAAGATGCTGCTGTCTCATGAACTGTGATATTCTGTCACCCCTATCATCATGGATTGATAAATATTTAGATATGGATGTATTCCATAGTTCCTGGCATATGTGAAGTCAGGTACACAGAAAATGATATAATGATACAAATTCCGTCCCAAGTGCAAACAATATATTATGTGTCCTTGATCTTGTTCACCCACACTACATGTTTCGGCCACAGACGGCCATCATCAGGTGTGTAACACTCACGTCGCTGTCACACTGCACTCAGCCCAAAATTTAACATTTAAAACACTTTCCTTGTTATTATCAACATCTGCTTCGTTGATATCTGTCTGGATGTAGATCACTTTACACATGTTAATTCTGATGTACCTGTAGTAGCACTATAAAATCTTTAGTTCTAATTTTAATATCCTTTAAAATTTTTCCCCAAATTCCAAATTTAAAATTGTTAGGGTTACTCGCCCTATGTCTAAAGTGCTGTAGCGGCTAGTTCTTGTTTCCACACTGTATAGGTGTTATCCTGTGTAGTCTTCCTGTGTGCGTGCTGCTGTTATTCTTTACTACATGTGTAGTAAAGATTTTATAGTGCTACTACAGGTACGTCAGAATTAACGTGTGTAATGTGATCTACATCCAGACAGATATCAACGAAGTAGATGTTGATAATAACAAGGAAAGTGTTTTAAATGTTAAATTTTGGGCTGAGTGCAGTGTGACAGCGACGTGAGTGTTACACACCTGATGATGGCCGTCTGTGGCCGAAACATGTAGTGTGGGTGAACAAGATCAAGGACACATAATATATTGTTTGCACTTGGGACGGAATTTGTATCATTATATCATTTATCGTATAGAGTGCAACAGGATGCTTAAATATAATATTGTAAACACAGAAAATATATTTGTGGTGCATATTATTACCCAAGATGAACCCAGTGTGTCACAAATAAAAGTACATTTCTGACAAAGCTTTAATGTTTTTCCCTCTTAAATATTAATAGTAAAACACACATTCAGTCCCTGATATAAAGCCCAGCATTTGGGATCCATTTCTTGAAATCTCCATATGTAGAGGTCCTTGTGAAATTGCTTGAATTGCAACCAGCTTTTCGATAAAATAGACTTTAGTTTCATGAATTTAAGCTTACTGAGTTTGAAATGGGTTCTGACACCTACTTTGTTCTGTTTACCTAATTTATCATGCTTGTCCATAAAATGTTAATTGTAAAACTATTGAACTGTACGTACAGCAGATAGTTCTGTATTGACATACTCAAGATATTGTCAACTGTATGGAGTGTGACTAGAAACGGGTTTTGGATTGACGATCGGATTCATTGAACTCTTACCACTTGTAACTACGAGTAAGGATTATGATGTCACTGTTCTAC